ACACACGATGAACCGTGTAGATCATGGATATTATAAAATGGATGACATCCCTTAGCCCTTGTTTTAGTTTTATACCTGCTAAGCAGGTATCAAAGGCCAATAGCAGAGTATGAAAAAAGTGAAATGATGGTCAACTTGCTGCCAATCAGCCTATGAAAACAAGACATCCTACAATACCAGACCCAGCACCGAACGCTATATGAAAGTCAGTATCAAATTGAAGGAATTAATTAATCCACCAAAGGTAAACTCACTTAATCGTAGTGAGGCCAAATAAACCATGCCTGAATTAGAATAAATGATCGAAAATTGGCATGGGTGGCTCAATACATCGCTGAGCTTGCGTTGAACTGAAGTAAGTCTTCGGTGTGGGGAGGAAATAAATGATGTTAGTTTGGGCCACAATGAAATCCAGCTGCTAAGACCCATGATAAAGTGGCAAGAGAGGAAGCGGAGGAGGCACATATAGCGAAACGGCTAGACTGTTTAAGAGAAAAATAAAGGATCTAAGGGGGCAGAACTTCAGCCAAGTACTTCTCATTTAAGTGGAAATCCTCCTTATCACACACCGCTTCGTCCTCACTCATCTTCACACGTTTCTGTTGTTTCTGTCATTCCTCGTCCTTCAACGTTCAGTTCTATATTTATTCTTGTCTTAGGCTCTTCAGATATATCCTTTGCTATTTCTTTTTCATTCGTTTCATATGTCAGTTCAACAATCTCTTTGCAGTTTTTTGGGTTTTGCAACAATGACGTGGCAAGGACAGCAACAGTAGCGGGGGCGGTAGAATCAACATCGTAGTCATCATCAACAGCAGATGGTTTTGAACCAACGTCGAGACAAGCAGACGGAGGCAATTTACGCCGACACGATGGACATGTGTAAACACCAGTGTGAGCACTAGCTTGCTCTGGAGTAAGACCGACACATTCGACGTGATACCACTCGTCACAGTGATCACAAGCAATATAAGCACTAAAGAAAGAAATGTAGGTAAATGACGATTTAAATAAGGGCAAGTAACAAATTAAAAAAATTCTGTTAAAACATGGAATTATTAGTTAATGCTTAAAATAAGCGACCAAGTTTATTTGATTCAAGAAACAAAATTTGTCATAAATTCTAAAACAAAATGGGTAAAAAAATAAAAGACCGTGTAATTTATATTCCTCAAAAAATTCCAGGAAGTGGAAAAAGGAGGACAAGATTAATGTGAAAATCGATTACATTTTTATTAATGTTTAGGGCTCCAATAAAACAAGTCTAGTTTAACAAGTTCAATATTTTAAAAGGATTGTTCGGACGACAATAATAGCTAATGCCATAAAGTCGAAGTTAAATTTAAATTATATCTAGAAGGTTAATATTAAGTAAAATGAAGTACAAGCAATAGATGACCTACCGAGAAGCGTCATATTTAGTACGACATAGACAGTAAATAGCATCATCTTCAGAAGCTTCTTCATTATCTTCGGCGGCTCTAATTTGCTCTAATTTACTCACAATTGGTCGGTCAGCCTCCGTTTCAGGCTCACACGATGGATTAGATGAAGTAGTAGTCGGAACTTTTGATATTGTACTTTGAAGTCCAGGATCCGATTTTACTGCTCCATCCTCTTCTACCTTGAATCTACCACACTTAACTGGACTTTGGACTTCTGGAGACTCACAAACTGGTGTTTCTGATGAAGGGAGCTTAGATGGTGATGCTTTATCAGTACCAGACAAAGTTGGAAGACAGGATGGACAAAGCCAAGAATCGGCGAGCCGGGCGGCGCATTCAGCACTAAGACCAACGCAAGAGAAATGGAACCAGTCTAGGCAAGCGTCACAGCCAATGTACTCACTGGGTCCGACGATAAGAGTAAAGGCCATGGGAGAACGAAAGAAACAATTGGTATATGCATATTAATACAAGCATAAATATGAATTTCTTATCACGAAGGCAGACAGCGTGAAAAATGTGAAAGAGACTCTATAGGAGTATAATCTGCATAAAAAACAAATGAAAAGTATTTGATAAACTTAGAAAATTACCCACCCTGGACCACTTAGGGGAAGTTAGATATGGAAAGTGGAACTTCCTACGATGAATTGAGTAAGCCTTAAGATACGATTGAAATGCATTTGGCCCTGCCTAATAAAGACCTTATCATCAAAGGTAAACAGCAGCGTCAACTTTGCCTTGATCTTATCAGTATCCCTAACGGAATTAGAAAACATATCATACACAGAGTGGCGACATATAACCTCTATGCCATCCAGACAGGGGTGTCAATGGATCAGAGTAGAGTGACTTTCAGAATAGGCCAAGCCAGTTTGATATTTCATTTTATAGCGGGATTTTTGCTGAGGCAACATATAATTGCCATTATAATCGACGTCACAGATATTCGAGACTAGCAGTAATTATTAATAAAAACTCATTTAGAATGCTGATGAGACACAGGCGAGATAAAAACTGCAGTCAATTCTGGATGAGAAATACCTCGTTGGAGAGTAGGTTAGGCTAAATTAAACGGCATCTTGAGGTCTTCTCATTTAATTGTAGGAAATCCCTCTATGTTTTAGCAACCTGATGGTATATTCATGGAGTAATAGGTTTCGAAGCATAGGCACAGCAAAATTACTATCCATAATGCCCAGTACGAAATTGAAAATAAATCGGATTAGGGAGATGAAAAATAAGGCACTGAGCTCAGTTGAAACGGAAAGTCAAGAAAATACTTTTATATAAAAACTAAAACGTAGCCAAGAATACATTAAATATATATTTCGTTTTGAGTAGGTTTTCGAGATGACTCAGAGTAGATTAAATATAAGCATAATATATCTGCTATCGAATTCATTAGCTTCGGATAATAAATTAACTCAATTTATCCTTCTTATATTCCTCGGAAGGATAACAACATCTCCAGGCAAAAAGTTTTCCTTAATCTATTCAATGTAGTGTTAATCTTTATACGTCATCAGGACCAGGATCCTATTTGTGCTTAAGGTGTAGGCAAAATAGCGATGTCGGCGTATCTTTCATTTCGTTTGAGGTGAGTAGAAGGCATTCGGAACATGGCGAATCATCATAAATTCCAGTTCTGATCTAGGAAGGGGCGCTGAGGATTTATTTGTGAAAATCTGAAGTCGCAAACTTCCTTCGACTTCCAATAAATCCAGTCTTAATCCCGTCCTCCCAACGCTTTAAGCGGAATAAGAGGGACGCCAATATCACTCTATTAAGGAAGTATTCGAAACCCAGCCTTTATTCACATAAGAATTTGAGAGGTTTAAGGACATGCACCATTTCATGCGACAGGATATAAGACTCAAGGAAATTAGGGACAGTTTGGAGAAAACATAAATGCCACCTGATGTTGTGGTACCTTTCAATTAGTTATAGGAAGAGAGCAAAGAGGATTAATAAATGGGCCTGTACGGCCACGGCCAATATAAATCCAAGATGAACTTTAATCTCGTGTCACAGATATGGTCAGAGCAGGAAACCATGCTTTACTAAAATCCATCAAGAACTAAAAAGGTGACAGAGGGCAAATTTACGAATCCTCTGCAATCACTGTTTCAAACGAAATGAGGCGCGCCAACATCATTCTAGTTATGGATGTGTCTAAACAAAACTCATTTTCATAAGAATATTAAAAGGGATAGTAAAGGAAAAAAGGACTTATCCATGTAGATTGCAGTGCCCTATAAGAGAAAAAAGCGCAACAAACAAAATCACTAACTTTTTATATAATTAGATAAAAGTATGCGAGTGCGCTTACATATTTTTAACAACCGAAAGGTCGAAAAAGACAGTACGAAGACCAAAAATGCATTCTTTCAACTCGCTTCCCATTTAACAATGGACGAATAAAACAAAGTTAGCTAGTATGGTTGGTGTTATTTGATT